AGCAGTGGAATCCACGACGCGCTTCATCTTATTTGAGACTCGTCAGCTGGATGTACCTGCATCTTAGATGGCTATCAGGACTCAGTAACTAAATGGACAATGCGATGACGTTTGAAGCTAACGGCACTGACTTCGAGTCCCAGAGTGAGCGAAAACCGAGATGAGGGTACATTCAACTGACGAGTCCCAAATAGGACGAAACGCGCGTCCTGGATTCCGTTGCTAGCCAATATCCATCTTGAAAATTTAGATCCATAATATGAACCAACTTTGTTTATTATTATTCATGTTTATTTCAAATAGTTCACATCTACGTTTGTAGACATTGGGTGAAACAACTAAAAACTCGTTTATCTTATTTGTCTTCTCTTAATTGAAATTAATACTATTATTTCATGTTTTAAATACATAACTTTCATTTGTTCATTATGAAAGATATCATTGAATGCCTTCTACCACTGACATAAACATTTTAACTCCTGAATATATCTCATGTGATCAAATTTCTATCATTTTACCATACTGAAATTAATATCCAAAATGAATAATTCAGACAATTCCTAATCATGAGTCAATTAAAGCTAGACTACCATGGAAAACCTGGAAGCACTGGACGGCTGTCTCGTCCTAGTGTGGGACTCCTCAGCAGTGCGTACCCACGATTCCGCCCCGTGAGATTCGAACTCACCCAGTGCTACCAGGTTTTCCATGGTGGTCTAGCTTCAATTGACTCATGAATTAAACTATAAAATTACTAAAATCTCTACAAAACCCCTTCCGATAATTTCTAATCAGCTAATCTATTGTGTTTACATACATCAATATAAACTAAATTACTTATCAGTACATATAAATCATCAGTTAACGGGTAGCTAGGTAGGTAGTTAATGGCAAAAATGTCAAGCTAGCGAGATATACTGTAATCATGATAAAAAGACTATACAGTGAAAGTAAAAAATGTTGTTTTTGTAACAATTAACTTTACAACGAATACACTAAAACATGTATACATATTCCATTATGATAATTTCAAGAGACTGTTAGAGTGAAATTGAAAAATCTTTACTCATTTTTGGCTGATCTAACAATGAGTTTTATAAAGAAATGAGGTAAGAATTTAGGAATGTATTGCACATAAAAAGAACATATTTCATATTTATTATAGTATTATGTCTGTAGTGCTCCACTTTTATCAAGAGAACGCGATTGATTTACTGGAAACAATCATTAATATAACCAATTGTACCAGTGATTGTTTTACTGTGCTCGTTTGTTTAACTGTGTTAAAGACAGCCATATTACTGCTTCGGCATCCATTACCTTTCGATTGTGACCTTGCACGGGTTCGGTTACGCTAGGTAACCGCGCTTGTATTCCTTCGGCACGATCTCGGTAGCCTTTCGGTACCACGAGATCGCCAATAAATAGATCTCGACTACAGCCACCAACTGCCTTCTGATATTTGGCTTACGAGGGATTTTATCGGTTAACTGGCATAAAGTCTTCTTGTAGTGGTGTTCATAGTCATTCGCGACTCGACTCACGCTACAAGTCCTTCAAACTATTGGGTCTTGATTGGGTCACAGGATTAAAAAAGCCTGATTAGCCATTTAATTTAATTGGTAATCCAAATTCAAAAATACTCGATCAGTCATCCAATTTTATTTGCAATCAATTATGTTCATATCCTCATATGCTACACAAACAAAGGCAAATTGTTTCTAGTGATTTTCAAAATGATAACAAGGTGAGGGCACGACTGACGTAATCGCCATCTAAGGGTGTTTTCTCTGCTAAGTTAATTTTCGGAAGGAAGACTCCGACTTCTTTTGATAGCATATATCCACAAAGAAGAGGACAAGATTATAAACCCGAAGTAACGAGAATTCAACATCACTTTTCAATGGAAAACATGTAAACTATATCTGTGATAGATGAATAAACTCAAACAAGGAAACTCTTGGCTCAAATCTACAATCAGATTATTTAGTTGACACAGTCAGTTTGAAGCATCAGAATAGACGCAGAAGAAGTGATGGCCAGACACAAAAGAAATCATGAAGAAGAAGACGTTTCTCTCAATGTCTTCAGCTAAATCCTTTGGGCAAGACCTATTTCTCTGGAAAAGTTATATGGAGAGCCAATCAGAAATAGCCCTGAGAGAAGGTCAGTCTACGGCAATCAGAGGTAGCCTAAAGAACAATTGCATTTGATTGCCTGAGGAATGGATCAATTTCCTAAGGATTAGAGTGATATTTATACGAATTAACATTTGTACATTTTATTCGTAGTCGATTGCACTTTCTTGCTCACTCAAGTGTTCTCTCTCAAATAGTCACTTCGGGGGTTAGCACGTAGCACACCGTGTATCAGTACCATATTTTGGACACTATACGTCACAATACGAATATATCTTTGAATCTGTTTCTTGTATATCACTATTTTTCCAATTCGCCTTTTTGAAATGTTATCCGTTACAAATCTTGAAACTGATTCAATTTATTGGTGTACCTTTTGACGTCAAATTGTCTTCTCTAATGAGTGTATAAATATTCCCTCGGATATGGTCCTTTTGGTATTGAAATTGCATGTGATGTATACCAGCTAACGATTTCTGAAACATACTCTTAGTTTTTTGAACGGCGAGAAATCAGCGTTTTTGGCATGGCGACATCAAAAGTGTTCCTGAAGTCCTCATAAAAATCATATAAATGACTGTCGCAATCAGACGAGTCAGTATTGACAGTGATGTGACTCATACATAAGATCTTATATCTAGGTATTCACAACGTGACAACTCAATAATTTTAGATTCGGTCTTTAATTCTAGCAGCGTAGGAATTGCATTATTACCGGCCTATACCTAACTTCAAGTAGTCTTAGGGGAGGCAGTGCATAGCAGTCCTAAAAGATTAGTACTATTGTGGTGTGTGCTACTGATGTTGACATATATAGGTGATACATATTGAAAATGAAATGCCCGGTGGCAGAGGGCTATTAAAACCGAAGAAAAGAGAACGAGAACAGAAAGTGATTGGTGTGGAAAAGAAGAATCAGTCAGTTCTGAGAAAATTGTTGGACGTTTCGCAAATGAAGAATTTACTGTAATGTTCTCAGATTTTAATAAGCGATTCTGTGATGTTGCGTTGAAATACATTTTCGTTGTCACCATTTGTGTTCACGTTCACTACTTTATGTATTGTGTTATAAGCACTTGTGTAAGAGCCAATGGAGGCTTGAAATACGACAATTGTGGTGGTCGGTATTCAATATAATCCTTAAACTTCGTATACAGTTCGTCTTGATAACCGCACTAGGTAACGCCCCAACGGTGTGCTAGTCAGAAGGCGAATATGAAGTGTTGATTACGTTTACTATGGGACCGCACAAAGATATCCCAAATTACGGGAACGTTAAGCCTGCATGATAGAGCTGTGCCGAAAAGCGAGCAGGCAAGCGAACTAACGAGCGAGTCAGCGAATACGAGTACGAGTAAGCGAGTACAGATAAGCGAGAGAACAATGAACATGAATAACATGGACATATATATACATAATGAAATGAATGAATCATCGATTCTATTAAGCGACTGGTAGTAAGGCTAGCAGAGTGAATATATGCGTAGGCAGTAAGCAACGTTCAAGCATACATGTTCATCCATTCGCAACGATAATAATTATACAATGGTAAAGATAAGTTGTTGTTGTTGTTGTTGTACGGATGACTCAATTCGTTGATAAGTTAACAAAATGACTTAATCGAATTAAATGTGAACAAACTCAATTGCACGTTAGTTGCTATACAATGAGATCAAAGTTTTTGTTATCAAGTTCGGTGACTGGCGTCAATTAAAAAAGCATCCTGTTTTTCATATTCATAGCGTAATGAAGACAACTGTCTTGATGGTTGTAGCTGGAGACTGTGGCAGTCACAGACCACCGGCTATGGAGTTTCTCCGGCCTCTAATGAAAGACTGGTATGACAATGCTCACCATATGACGTTGATGTTTATTCTGATGTGATACTGACTAAAGTTAGGACAGCCGGTGCTAGTCTTACCAATGACAATTTTATGCTGTATATACGCGTTTGATTTGTGCCTGTCGTTATTGTTCGTGCTCCTGACTGCTTGCGGAATATATTTCACCTTTTCGAACTTGGACTTCTCTCCCTGGTTAGCGGGGCTGGGACGCGTCATAATAGCTAGCTTATCTATCATTGTGTCACAGAATCTTCTTTCCGTTCTCAGATTAGCTGAACTCATAATCGCTTCAAAAATGACATGATATAAGCATTCTGACAAGCTAACCCAATGTATCAGAATATTCTCAATCATTCACAATCCATGCAAACTATGGCAATGTGCAATAAATCAAACTTTCAGTGCGAGTTTGGAAGTACCAATAACTTGGAAATTGAGCTTTAAGTAAAATGTTTTTGCCTAAGTGAGAAGAATGAATAACCCTATACACAACGTTGAAGCTTCTGTTGGGTATAAACTGTATTTTCCATACAACAATCTGTAACTTTGCAACTCACATATATTTCTTTGGGCACGTTATTACGAATTAGGAGCGAGCGGATGTATGGACAAATTTTTTAAAGGTTAAAAGTCATTTATTACTAAGACAACGACTGGTTTTGGGTCGAAATCAGCTTATTCGTAAAGAAAAAAAAGACTTATGACTCCCCACAGCAATACATCGCATTTGGTATAAAAACTAACCACACTTGTCTCACATTCTCCCCCCGTCTATGACTGATAAACTGAGACAGTATCCCAAGAAACTCCACAAACCAAAATCAAACAGCTTAAGTCAGGAGTTCCATTTCTTCCACCGAGTAGAGAATTACTAGAGCACATAATATTAGCACCTTCTGTTGATATATTCGAAGGAAGATTAGATTTTTATCGTACTAAAAGTCGCAAAGTTTAATATAAATTGACTGACTCTTATCCTTTCTACTGAAAACTGACTGAGGTGATTGGATATTGGACACAAACTGTTGCTTCGCGGTGTATATTTGACACAAACGTTACCTCAAGTGATAAGGTGACTTTCTCTTCAGGAGTAAAGTCGATTTGTGAGTACTCGTATATTTCTTGTGCTTTGTCCTTACTTCTCTAAGAAACCTTTCGTCGTTTTGGGCAAATTCCTAGTCTTTTTACTTTGATGATGCATGTCGAATTGAAACCAACTGATTTTAGTAATTAAAATTCCGGGTTGTTTAGTTTCGCTGGAATAAGGCCTGGAGTAAATACTTCTAAATTATTCGTCAAGTCGTCTCTTATTCGACCCTTTGTATTTGGTTTGAGTCTGATTTCTATTTTACAGTGCGATACCTATTCTCCCTGTTTTGGAGAAACTTTGAGGAATTTTGAGTTTTCCCCGAATTCGTGAGAAGTTTGGTATATTTTTCTAAGTTTTTGAAAATTACTAGGGAAAACCTCAAAGTGTTATAAAATTATGGGGAACTATTGGGAAAAACTCGAAGTGTCCCCAAAACTTTTGTTTTTTTCCCCAGACCTGGTGGTATTTTGGTATTTTTGTTCCATTTCCCTAGAGCTTCCTTTTACGGTTTCCCCAAAATTTACCCAAAACGAAAAAAACTTTCTTCGAAATAGGAAGATTGGGTAAATAACCTATTTCACTCTCGAAAATCATTTCTTCATAATGACTTATTTAAAAGGCTTTGCATTGTGGTGTACTGAGATCTTTATCAGTCGGATCTACCATGATGTTCAATTGTAGACGGACACATCTGCCTGCAGTATCTTCCAAGAGTTGGTTAGTAGTTAAATAAAGTTGTGATTCACATTTTCTACCAATAAGCAAAAGGTCAATAATCGCTTTGACCATGTGTACAGTGAACCTCTTGATCCGTGTCAAAGGTCAGAAATTCCCTTTCAAACGAGACTTAATTTGAGTTGTCATAGTACTGCGTAAACACTGATAACTCGGTCTGTAGGACCTGACACTCAAGTTGCCATCTCTAAAATAACGCAGCGAGATGAAATCATTCTAACATGTCCTAGAGTAATAAGAGTAATAACAGTACACATAGTAGTAGAAAATATTAAGTGCGGAAGAAGCGGGAAAGGCATAATATTATTTTTGGAACCCAGGCTCTAAAAGGAAACAAGTAGTGAATCCTCCTGAATCCTAATAGCTATGTTTTGCGCTCAGTAAGTAAAATGGCAAAAACTGCGCAGAAACACCACAAGAGTGATTCACATTCTCTAAATTGGTTCCCGTGACTTCTGACCTTTATAAATTATAACCTGATAAGTGGCGGCAGGTGGATAATATGCTGGTGAGCGGATGTAAGATAGCGACCTTAAGAGTTTTAGGCAAAGTTTAAAACTTGGTGACCGACAGCTTGTGCTTTACTGAGAGTTCGGTGTAACATGTAATACTTAGTTACTGAATCGCTTAATTTGATAAATATGGAGACGAATTCAAGCATCTCTTAAGTTAGCCTTGGGGAAGTGGTTGGTTTATCACCAAGAGTTGAGTAAGCAACAAATAAAATTTAACTATATGTAATATGATTTATGGATTTTTTAAGGTGGATAAAAGGTACTTGAGATTCTAAGTAAGAGAACTGCATAAATATCCATTCATATGGCTACATGTCATTTCCATACTCTGGACCTAACTCCCAATCTAAGTGTTCTCGGGTTTTACTGCATTCATCTTTACCATTTGCACTCTGTTTGTTTAGAAATTAACTCTACTTTCGCAGGATTATTGTAAAAGTCACTGAAAGTCATCAAGGAAGTATACTTTTATAGAGATTTTCGTAGGTGTTGTTACCTCCGTATCTGATACATATAATTAGTGTCTATCGATAGGGATAAAGTCACCCTTATGCCCTAGACCAGCAATCTAGTGTTCGAATCAGCTCAAAAGTTATAAACATGATCTCCCGGTATCACGTCATAGTATTGCGTAGTGTGAGTAGGGTAGCACTACGTCACCGGCTACCATGGGACTGGATTTCCTACGTTGCTCAACTGCCTTATGGATTAAACCTTTAGGTCGAAGGCTCCGGATGTGACCCCTTAAAAAGACCACCTATCTCGGTTTTGGCTCCTGTGCACTATTCCAGCTCTCACAAATCGAATGACGAGGTGTGGCGCATATATATTTGGTGCCGCCTCGTACCAATGCTTGTGTTGAAATAAATAAATTTTATCACCTACTATCCCCAACCAAGCAAGTATTCTGTTCATTAAGGCAAATTATTTACGATTTCTAGGTGTTATGATTGTTTTTTGAACAGTTAAGTCGGATTCTAAAACGCTACTTGCACTGATATTGCTCATTTATAATATTTCTCCGAAAAGGATGAAAACGAATTTAAGCCCATATTTCTCTGAAGGTACTTCGGTTATTAAAATTGTTAGTCGAATATAATCCACGATTTGTACCATCCATTTCCTCAGAAATAAAAAGTATACACATTTGTGATATCAATTAGATTTAAACTCAGTATTTTGCAGTAGTTTAAGCATAGATTTATCCGTAATAATTTTAATATTGCATTCTATTGTGTATTGGTGATGGGTCAAAAAGTGTTAATAGCTGTGTGAGCTTTATTTTTAAAATTCTCGACTGACTGTTGATCGTGGGGTTCTATGGCAGTGTTTGTCATTGAAAGGAGTACCAGAGAAGTACATTAACCTTACATAGGCTCTCTACTCGAACACAACTGGTCGAGTGAGAGCTTATGGCGAACTGTCATCTGAATTGATTACCTCAAGTGGTGTTCGTCAGGGCTACCCACTCTCTCCATTCTTGTTTAACTTTGTCATTGACGTATTTTTAGAGATAACACTCTCCTCATTTAAATTTCCAGTAGTTGAACTTCTACCAGGAGATCCACTTGTTGATTGGAATATGCCGATGACATTGTTCTATTTGGTGAAGACGCTGACAAAATACAGTCTTCTGACCACTCTAAGCAACAATGCAATCATGTTCGGCATGCGATTCTCCCCCTTGAAATGCAAAATGTTGCTTCAGGATTGGGTTGCATCGACACCCGAACTAATGATAGGGAGTGAAGTAATTGAGCGTCTCGACCGCTTCACTTATCTGGGAAGTCTCATCAGCCCTTGTGGTCTAGTGTGTGACGAAATCTCAGCACGGATACAGAAGGCTCGATTAGCTTTTGCCAACTTGCGTCATTTATGGCGTAGGCGAGATATCCGTCTATCAACCGAAGGACGTGTTTACTGCGCAGTTCGTTCCGTCCTACTTTATGGCAGTGAAACATGGCCGGTAAGAGTAGAGGATATTCGTAGGTTACTAGTATTTGATCATAGGTGTCTTCGAAACATTGCTCGTACATCCTGGGACCATGGAGTAAGTAATGCAGTTGTTAGGAAACGGGTACTAGGTAAGGATGGAAAATCGATTGATGAAGTAGTGAAACTTCATCAGTTGAGATGGCTGGGACACGTGTTACGTATGCCCAACGACCGACTGCCTCGACGTGCGATGTTCAGTGGCATAGGAGTAGGTTGGAAGAAAGCTAGAGGCGGCCAGACCAAAACATGGCACAAGTCCATGAAGTCACTGACAAGTGGACTGAGTCATGTTGGTAGGTGTAGACTACCTGGTTGGGGACCGCGAGATGATAGCAATCGTTAGTTAGAGACCCTGAATGACATGACTCAAAATCGTTTGCAATGGCACAGGTGCATACACTCTTTGTGTTCTCCCAAATTCTAATCTCCTGAATCCTCCTTGTCTCTTTTTTCTCTTCCCAAATTTATTTCACTGGATTATACTCTTTAAATAACATCTCCAAACCCTAATCTTCCCGGTTACTGCTTATGCTCTTACTACCTATACCACTACGGAATTTGAATCGACGACTGCTAATGTGCTAATGTGGTATGGCAACTCGAACTGATGTACGTACGTACGAAGTTCTATGTTTTTACTGACTGACTGACTGACTTGTTTCTCCTTACAGCTCGTCACTGACTTGTCACTTGCCCTTCTATCTAATGATCTGAACACTGATTTCCTCTTTTAATTTTACCGTTATGTTTCTAGACAGATAAGTGTAATTGATGAGTATCATATGTTCTCTGTTGTCATTATCATTACCACGATTTATAGCCATCTCAAACATTTGATTGATGCGAATTGAAATAATTTGGTTGTTTCCCCTAGGGCTTGTAATCGTCATAAATGGAAACCGATATGTGTGGCGCATATGTATTCGGTGCCCCTTTGTACCAATATTTATGTGTCCAAATGAAATAAATAACAATGTGTCGATTGATTCAAATAAATCTATAGAACTCCACTATTCAATTTTTGGTTAAAAGTTAATATTTATTGCCATCTGCCTTATTTCAGATATGATGTCAGCCTATATTGGTACATTAATTAACTCCATTACATACGTAGATATCTCAATGCAATACTATCCTGGCAGTGAATACCAACTATACATACTGTTCCGTATTAGATATCTTCTTAGATATACCCTCAACTTTTTCATTTTCTTAGATGCTTTCCTGTTCTGTACGGATAAATGCGGTCAAAGTCTCAACTTCTGTTCTAAAAGAGTACGATAATCTCCTACGATCATTTTCAAATTCAGTGTTTGGTTGTTGTTGGTTCCCGCCAGTTTAAATAATATCCTCTATCATTATTTACTTGATTACTAACCCAAAATTAATTACCGTTAGGACTTAGTTACATTGATTAGTGTCCATAGCGATTAATTGATGTATCATTTTAAAAATACTTATCAAATTATGGTTTAGTATCCTTATTAAGGTATGTTATCTCTTCACTACAATGACCACCTCTGTATTCGTAAGTTTATAGAATAACTGCAATTTTCCTAGAATGACACGTTTAAGACATATTCATGCTACCGGAACTTGTATTTCAGCATTGTCAGTCAGTTAATCATTATCAACTTGTGACCTATCACAAATGTTGTCACACTAAACTGGGAAGTCAAGTTGAAGTAACAAGTACGAATATTAAGGTAATCGAAGTAGTCGTTGTATCGGTGATAATAACAAGACATACAATACCATATATTGGGATTCGCTCTTTGAGATAGTCTGATGAAAATGGTTCAGTGGAATTTTATGGATAACTCTAAACGCTAAGTTTTTTATCGACGTAATGACCAGTATCCACTAAATGAGCGAAGATAGAGCTTCTTACTACTTTCTTGTGTCAACCATGATGTATGATGTTCAGAAATACGATAATGCCTAGTTCCTATGCATCTATTTGTATTTACTATTTCAACTGCTCTTGTGGAGCTAGTTATTTTGAACTTGCAACCAGACAAAGGCATCATTGTATTTCCGAATATCATACCTCATGGTTGACAAAAGAAAGTAGTAAGAAGTTCTATCTTGGCCCATTTAGTAGATACCGGTCATCATATCGATAAAAAATTTAGCGTTTAGAGTTATCAATAAAATTCCACTGAAATTACCCTAGGGTTCCAGAATTCGGCCCTCATAAAAATCATAAGCTAAGGGAATACATATCAAAATACTTAATCTTTGTATACAGAAAAGGTATATACAACCTCTGAATGTACCCTGGGTTTCCACTTAGATATTATTACGTTTCTCAAAACTTATTCTTTCTCTTTTAAAATTTTTCAAACTTCAGTTTTGTTAACATTTTAATTTTTATCCTAATCTTGCGTAACTTGTTTAATAATCTTACTACCTAATTTTGGTTGCACCTGTCTTACTAATTACTGGCATAAAGCTACGTCGGATACATGAACATCTTGACCATCTTCATCAGATTATCTCAAAGTGTGAATCTCGATATAGGATTCTGTCTTGTCCATGTACGTCGCTCTTCGGCGATCTAAGACAAGTCCTGTAATCAAAGTCTTTGATCTCAAACTAGTGGAACGGGATTTGAGTAACGCGTCATACCATTATCGTTCAGACTCTTGCCATCGAGAATTATTTTCTCTGAGTAATAGCATATTACTATTTTGTCTTACTTTCTTCAAAATTCTTTACTGAAAGACGTTAGTGACAAAACTAGAATGAAATTATAAGATTACGCAACCACACTTCTGGTTTGGAACGATGAAAAATTTAGTTTGTATCTACGTTCTTTGAGTGGGTTGTTTTCCGTATGCAGTTCGCATAATGTTAATAAATCCTAGATAGTCCTCTCTAATAAGCGATTCCAGATCACAGTCCTTTTTAACTAATTTAAGGTATCCATGATGTCAGGGGATAAAATGATTGTTAGCAGACAGTTAGTGAAACTATTCAAAACTTTCGCAGTGTGCAGCTATCAATAAAAAAACCTGGATTCATACGTTTTGCATAAACTCTAAAGTATGACAAACAGGGGTCCTTTACTGTTTACGGCCAAAATATGTATTTATAAACTTTTCACAGCCCCTAAATACCTTAAATCGTTTTTGAAAATTTTAGCAGCCTACCCTTCGATGAATGTGAAATACTGTTTCTCCTATAGCATGTATTCTTTCGTCTGGTTGTTGCGTTATTTTGACTGATAAACACCAATCAATAAAAGGTTCGTGTTGTTCTAGGTCTGATCGAGATCAGTACCACATGTTCTGTAACTTCTAACTTTCTGTGTAATTTTTTGTTTTATCAGGTAAATTTCCCCTTTGAAGTTTGGATGTTGTGATACTTGTTTCCAACATATGACCACAAAAATTGCAACAGTAGCCAACTTGGCTTTTCATGCATTTCAACAGCACTCAGTACGTGCTACATTGGGCCCAGCATCAGCTAATATTAACAATGGGATGGGGGATTCTCATCCTTGTACAAATGGCAATTCTCCAACACATTCTGATAAACCCGTTTCCCCAACTCTTCCGGTAAAACATAAACATTTATCGGAATCTTTATGTCGTTTGCTAGCATGTGTTCGCTCTCTTACTCCAAAAGATGTTGGGTTTGATGTTCGATGGATCTCTGATTCAAATATATCATCTGCTCCAGTCGCTTATGTGCATATTATGGAAAATGAAGTATTTTCCATGGGTATTTTTATTTTGAAACCTGGCTCTCGTATACCCTTACATGATCATCCGGGAATGTATGGAATTTTAAAAGTTTTAACCGGTTCTGTACGATGTCGTAGTTTCACACGATTGAAAAATGTCAAATCAACAACAGATTTAGGAAATTATAAACCATCGTTATCGGTTTTTGATGATTCAAAATGGCAATTGACCGACTTAATCATTGCTCGACCACATCAAGATACAGTCCTATCTCCGGACCATCAACCTTGTTTGCTTTTTCCAATTGAAGGTAATTTACATGAAATTACTCCAGTTGATGGCCCGGCAGTTTTTCTCGATATACTAGCTCCTCCATATGATCATGATTTAGGAACCAGAGAATGTCGATTTTATAAAGAAGTCATCATACCACAAATGAACTCTAATTCACTATTATCACAGAACAACTTGCATAATAACAATAATAATGAAGAACTCTTATCTTCAGCTGATTCTTCAGATCCTGATCAATGCACAAATCAGTCAGAAAAAGATTCAATTGTTTATTTAGTTGAAACAAACCAACCATCAGATTATTGGTGTGAGTCTGCGGAATATAATGGACCTAGTGTAGTTTAGTATTACTGAAGAGTGTTTTTTTGTTAGAAAAAAAATATTGAATTTTTTTCCCGTGGTTATTTAATTCTACTACATCAGCTTATCACATTCACTATTTCTAAGAACTTACTAGCCTCATTATTATTATTTATCGTTAATGATTCATTCTCGTGGCATTTTCCACTGTTCATCCAATTTTGAATATTTCAATCTCCCTGCTTCTGTTACTCTCCATTCCTTTTCTCTTTCTTTACTTATGTGATAATAAAATCAGTTTATAATTTGATGTACAAATTCACTTCGCCTCATTTTCATCATAATACTGGGCAGTCCAGTATTCTGCATTACTTTTCACACATCGGTATACCCATTCTCTTTTTTGCGATGTCTTTTCGGTTAATACCGCCATGTTTAGTTTATTCTTGCTTTTGTTTACATTTTAAGTATTTAAAGAAATCTGTGTCCTTGGTGTTATTATTATTATTATTATTATTATTATTATTGTGGTTTTTCATGGTGAAAACAAAACACAGAGAAAATCATTGTACATGCACCCTTGTTATTCATGCTCTCATAGCATCATTCTGCTGAAGTTATTTCCTTGATTGATGATTATACTAGTGTTGTTAGTAGTGGCAATCTATTCATCAGAGTATTGGTTTATGCGTACAATCTAATGTTTTACTGCCTTTGTTTTTCTCCATGTACCCCCTAATGTTTTATTTCCTGTATGTGATTTTTGTGGTCAGATCCAGTCATAGTACTTTTCTTTGTAGTGATAGTAGTAGTGGTAGCAGTATCGATAATAATAATAATCAACTTAAAAGTTATCCCTTCCATATTTATCTCATTTCGTTACTGAGTGCGAAAACACTATCTGTACTATACACCTATAAATATGCATAAATTTATGTAACAATTTAAAAACAATACATACTTCATACATTATCAAGGCTGAAATTAAAAAAAAAGAGAATATTATGTTGATTCATGTATATTTCAACGATTTTCGGGTACTACACTTGCTTGTATCTATATTATTTACTGTAATGAAGATATATGCATACATAAATGTTCTTTTACGTGTTAGTGTATAAAATTTCTGCACTTATAATAGTCTCTTGTTTACTTTATAGCTGAAAACTTAAAGTACTAAAGTATTAAGATGTTTCTAGTTGATATTGACAGTAAGCTAAGTTTTACTGTTTATAATACTGTTAAGATTTTCATCAGGGACAACTATAGCGTACAGAGGCAATCCCGCTATTGTAAGTCTACTGTTCAGTAAACCTAAAATATTCAACCTGAACCAATCAGGATATATATATTGACAGTAAGCTAAGTTTTACTGTTTATAATACTGTTAAGATTTTCATCAGGGACAACTATAGCGTACAGAGGCAAATCCGCTATTGTAAGTCTACTGTTCAGTAAACCTAAAATATTCAACCTGAACCAATCAGGATATATATATTGACAGTAAGCTAAGTTTTACTGTTTATAATACTGTTAAGATTTTCATCAGGGACAACTATAGCGTACAGAGGCAAATCCGCTATTGTAAGTCTACTGTTCAGTAAACCTAAAATATTCAACCTGAACCAATCAGGATATATATATATATATATGGAATTTTCTAAAGTATTAATTCCGTGAGGACATAAATAATGAATAAAAATGATACTGTAATCGAAAGATCACAATGCTAGAGTTATGTAGTGTAAATAATAAATGGATTTGTGACTTATACAGGGTCTGTGCAAATAAAAATAAAAAGGCAACAGTTGATTCTAGTATGAATGGATTAAGATAATTAAAAAAAATTTTGTTACAATAATTAAAGGTATTGGAGAAATTCAATGAAGTGTGGTGGTTTCAGGAACGATTAAGAGTAAGATCGATGGGATATAAGAGATAATTAGAGGGATATTTCCAAAAAAAGAAATTAAACTAAAATGGTAGTATTAAAATAATACTTTGAGGATAAACTACGTCATCTGTTCTCCTCTATGTATTTGCTAGTTTATCTGCTCTTGTAGAACATAGTATACAGGCATTAGTCAGGTGGTTGTTTCCAGCGTGAATGCGAGAACATTATGCAGTTTGGTTCTACAAAAGTGAATGGAAAACGGTGAATTCTACCCTTGAATATTTAGTCGAATGTAATCACTCTACTGATGTTGGTTTTAAGATTGTTTTCAGAATTAGTCCAAATCTACCAAGATTTCTTCGTATTTAACTCCTTGAAACACCAAAAGCTCTTATTCATGAAATAATGCATAAAATATCTATTACAAATGAAGTATTTTATACTTATTTCTACAATGGCCTTAAACTATTATTGTCACTATTATTATAATATGATTGTATCATTTGACAAGTACGTCTTACGTGCTCGTGTTCTAAAAAATGCATCAATCCGGAATCCGCATGAATTTTTCACTCATTTACGTTATATTTCTCGTTAAACTATGAAATTGGGTTTCCTCATCATTGGAAGCTGACTCAGTGGTCTCGTGATTAGGCGTTCGGGCGTGACATCGATAGTGCTAGGTTCTATCCCAGATGGAATTGTGGGTGCGCACTGCCGAGAATTCCCATCCTAAGAAGAAACAGGGGTTCAGCACTACCCAGTTTTCAGTAGTGGTCTAACTATAATCACGTTTGTGATTTAATCTATGGAAATCTCACAACCTCTTCAAATCCGTTTAGTACTGAAATATGAAATTTAGATTTAATAAGGATTTAAGATTATGTCTTGTGAGTTAAATTTAATTATTACAGTAATAACTCATAACTTGCGTCAGTATACTAGAAGTTTCAATCATCTAAACTCCGTTATATCGATAGTTTTTGAGTTTAATTTTTAATCTTGCACAGTATAATCACATTGTCGGATATCATCCAAAATCCCTTTCAGTTATCAGTAAATAACATGAATAACAGTGTTGAGATGGTAGATGACCGGCAGAATGTGTCCAATACCATTTAGAAATTAGATAATAATATTCACATCAATACTTTTTAAACATTGAATAGACTATTGGTTAATTACTCAACTCTGTTTTATTAGTATGCACACGTTTTACGGATTTCATAATAACCATGAAACAGACGACTATTATAAACAAAGTGAACCATTCAACAGTAAGACATCGTTTAATAAGTAGTATCAAACAGCTCATTATCCTTAAGAATTAAATTAGAATAAGAATAACTATTGAAGTAGAATGCTATGATAGTACTACTATGATGAATTCTTACCAAATGTCTACAAATCTAATTAAATTAAAAAAATATATATTAGTCGGTTTGATATTATGGTAATCAACCGTGACCATTTGCTATGATCAAGAGTACTAGTGAGTTTACATGTAAGAACATTCGTAGAGTGTTTTGAATAATGACAGTTCTTTCTAGTTATAGCCACCACAGCTGTTTTAATTAATATTAGACGTAGGGTGGCAAAGTTAAGAAATCAGTTGCAATAACAACGTTCCAATTATTATCTATATTATTTTATTTCTTGAGCAAGGTACCCTTATTAATTTCCATCTTTTAATGACTAACTGCTCCAAAATATTTAAATTCACTGACAAGTGAACTGAGTCATGTTGGTAGGTGTAGACTACCTGGTTGGGGACCGCGAGATGACAGCAACCGATGGTTAGAGACCCTGAATGACATGGCTCAAAATCGTTCGCAATGGCGCAGGTGCATCCACTCTCTGTGTTCTCCAAAACTGTAATCTTCTGAATTCTTCATGTCCCTTTTTCCCTCTTTCCAAATTTCTTTCACTGGATTATACTCTTTAAATAACATCTCCAAACCCTAATCTTCCCGATTACTGCTTATACTCTTGCTACCTCTACCACTACGGGATTTGAATCGACCACTGTATCTCTGTGCTAATGTGGTGTGGCAACTCGAACTGATGTACGTACGTACGAAGTTCTACGTTGTTACTGACTGACTGAAATATTTAAATTATTTGGAATCGAAAAGTTTGCAAGGTAAGTTACGCAATTATCGTAAAAGAACATTCCACACAATCTACACAAGCTTAAGGGAATAGATGATTGAAAATGACACAATGAATATATGGACAATTTTTGAAGTGAAGATAGAAATAATAAAATAAATGGTTAGAGATTTGTTTTGATATAACAGTGATAGATTGACAATTGATTCCATAATGAGATGGCTATCAATTGAATGTCGTGTGATTGAGTTAATAAATCATTTGAAATCCTTAAGTATCATTTCGTTTTTGAACTATTCTCTGATGTAAATAAGCATCACAATTGCCTAGATAAGATCCTCGAACTTATGTGACTCAACCGAAAGAGAAATTAGTACAAACGATATTTCAAGAAAATAACAAACTGTAATTGTGTATGAGTTTCTATTAGATAAAACAACCTCAAAATCTAGATCAAGCTTAACTTCCCATTAGTTCACTTGAATCATTTGAACCAAACAAACATACTCATTATTAATAAAACACTAATGAGTGAGCTAATAAAATTAGTTACATGAAATGTTACGTGTAATTGGTTTTAGTAAATTTAAAAAAAGTGCAACATCTACTTCGTTTTAAACGAAATCAACGAACTTGTATTATTTTATAATGAACATTGTAATTCGTATGCTTTAAGTCATTCACATACGAACTGATTTGTATGAATAAATAACAGGTTTTACAATTATAATTTTATGTAAAACGTTTGCTAGTCAAAAAAAGTAATTATGAACAATTTCTATATTCGTACCAGTCCAATCACTCTTGATGGCGAAACTCTGGAAGATGTAGAATCCTTCACACAACTTGGAAGCATCATCGATGAACAAGGAAGTTCAGATGCAGACGTAGAGGCAAGGATTGGCAAAGCAAGGACAGCATTCCTACAATTGATGAACATATGGAACTCAAAACAACTTTCAACCAGTATCAAAGACAGAATCTTCAATAGGAATGTCAAGACAGTTCTACTGTACGGAGCTGAAACTTGGAGAACTACAACAACCACAATCAAGAAGGTGCAAGTATTTATAAATAGCTGTCTACGCAAGATACTCAACATCCATTGGACGGATACCATCAACAACAGCCTTTTGTGGGAGAGAACAAACCAACTTCCAGCTGAAGAGGAAATTAGGAAAAGACGATGGAAATGGATAGGACATACATTACGCAAATCGTCAAACTACACCATGAGACAAGCCCTAACTTGGAATCCTGAAGGGAAGCGAAAAAGAGGAAGGCCAAAGAACACATTACGTCGGGAAATAAAGGCAGATATAGAAAGGATGAATAAGAACTGGAAGGAACTGTAAAGTATTGCCCAGGACAGGGTTGGATAGCGAATGCTGGTGAGCGGTCTATGTTCCTTCACGAGGAGTAACAGGCGTAAGTAAGTAAGTCTATATTCGTACAAGTTTACGTTCCATCACCTTTGTCATTTTTCCTACCGTAATCATAAAAATTTGCACATATTTCCGATATACGATAACGTCATGATTTGTCGTTTAATTCCTTCATCCAAATATTGAAGTTGTATGAATACAGGGAGTGTTCTTACTTATTTATTTTACTTGGTGAACTAAATGAATTTTTTACATACTATACATGAAATTATAATTGTAAAATATTTTACTTATCCATAATAATCAGTTCAAATGTGAATGAGTTACAGAACATGAAATACAATGAATTCACTTCCACAATGTCCGTTATTCTTGCTTTGTAAGTTTGTCAAGAAAGCCAGCCGCTTGAAATAACATATATTACTTGCTCGATAAACTTTGTTACTCAGTACATGACTGAGATCATTTCATCGTCATTGTACATTAAAGACAAACTGTTGAAAACTCAGTATAATAACTAATCAGTTCGTTTGTCCTACTTTACACCATCATAAAACATTAACAAAATAAATACAACCAGTGATTGCGCAAGTAACAATGAATTAAAAACAGCGAAAAACGCTTACAACCTGGATCAGCTTGACAGAGTCTGAACCATGTTATTGAAAGTCTTCAATCACTTTATTTTGACAACTATACAATCTCACTTGAAACATAAAAGGAGGGTTCAACTAGGAAACCGAAA